CCGATTTTTTTTTTGTTTCGAGGTCCCTAGAGACCAAAAACACCATCCGTTCAAATTCATATATATATATATATTTATATATTTATATATTTATATATTTATATATTTATATATTTATATATTTATATATTTATATATTTATATATTTATATATATATATATATGTGTCCGTTAGCACTATAACTCGAGCAAAAATGATCCGATTTTGATGAAATTCGGTACAAACGTGTAAACCTACGTTTATTCGAACGAGTTCGCGATCCAGCATGATCGGACCATGGAAACGGGGGTTTACGGGGGGTTTTATGGGGTAAAAATAGGTTTTTCGCATTTTTGACCCAAAAAACATAAAATTTAGCAATTTCTTTCCAAACCATTTTGTAGAGCTTAAAAAAACAAATAATTTAGTATATTGAAGCGTTATTATGCGCCTAATGGTTACGGAGAAAATTCCAAAAAATTGTAAATTTAAAATTCCCATGTTATTCTTATGGAGAATAAGTAAACTGTTGTAGTTTGCTTGTTTATGAACATATTTTGATAAAATTTGAAAAATGTTTTTATTTCTTACTAACTATTAACATAAAAAAAAAACAGTTTTACCTCCCTGATGCAGCAAACCTAAGTACTTGTTAAACTAATTCTATTTAAATCGGGAATAAATGTTATATTTTTAAGTAGACATTTCAGTGTAAATCAAATGGAAATTCGCTTAGTCTGCAGGTTTGCTGCGGCGGGGGTATTTTTTATATTTGGCCTCTGGGACCATTAAAACTAAAAAGTAAATCGGTCTCGGGTTCAGGTCATGGGAAATTCGCTAAAAATGATATAGGCACTTCCTTATGTGTAAAACCAGGTTGAAAATTACCTTTGATCGCCACTGGCACGCTTCTAGAGGTGGTCAGACTACGCTGCTCGCTGGTGTCAGCGAGTGCGAGTGGTCACGTGACCTCTAGTCGCCGCTGCCTCGCTACCAAAAGTTGAACATGTCCAACTTCGCCAGCCGCTGACAAATACTCGCCGGCTAGCGATGCCAGCTGCGAATTTTGTGGTCACATCAAGCTGACAGTAGCGGCTTCTTTCAATTCGCCGCTGATACCAGCCTAGTGTGACCCGTGCTTAAGGAATATGTCAGCCTTAGTCACTAACAAGACTACAAGATCGCGCCACTCATCCTTCACTCATATTTGGGTTAAAATACGCACATTGTGGCGTCCCTATCTTAAAAAATTGATATAGCCTAATTGAATTGATATCTTCGCTTAGCTTAGTAACTTTTTTCTGTGATAAGTCCATGGGGAAGTTATCTGTGGTTTGAATAAAATTACCCCTGATGTACGCAGTCAACACATTGACTTACTACACAGTTTATTTGATATAGGTAGGTAGGCTATTCTTACTTACCTATTTTTCTTGAATTATTCTCACAAGTGGTATGATACTTCTTTAGCAACAATTTCAAATTGTGAACAAAGTTGCTCGATAAATAAGTCCATTTTAGTCTGAATAGTCATGACAAAATATCTTCATCATAGCTGTGACTAATCTGTCATTGACATAGAGTGCAACAATGATTTTTCCAGCAGGGATAGGACAAATGTAGACACAGGGATCTTCACGGCAGTGTCAAAGTCCTAAGCCTTTCATGAAGTCATCAAACCGTTTATTCCAGCATCGAGGTGCCTGTTTCAGGCTGTATAAGCTGCGTTTGAGACTACAAACACGATTTCTCCCATCTGAATATCCTTCAGGCTGCTTCATAAAAATCTCTTCTTCTACGTCCCCCTACAAGAACGCAGTTGAGACGTCATAGAACCACTTTCTCAACAGCTACGATAGACAGTATTGATCGAACGACCTCCAGACGAGCAACCAGGCTGAAGGTTTCAGCATAATCAATAGGCCTAACAAGTCTTTGCGCATATCCTTTGATGACCAATCTCGCCTGATATATGTCAACACTTCCATCAGGGTTGCACTTAATTCGGTAGACCCACTTGTTGTTGATAGTCTTCTTTCTCAGAGGGAGTTTGGTCAATTCCCATGCACCGTGTATATGCATAGATGCAATTTCTTTGTCCATTGCCGTTTTCCATTCAGCACTATCCTCTGAACTGATGGCTTCAGTATAAGACTTTGGTTCATTGTCAACAAGAAGAACTTCGGCAAAGTTTGACGAGATGTAATTGTTTAGCCACTCAGGTTGCCTTCTTTTTTCTCGAGTCGAGTGCCTGGTTGCAGGATCATTGGATAGCTCTGCATCTTCACTACCTCTGCTACTTGATTCGTTTGTGTCCTCAGTTTGTGTAGGTTCATCATCACCCTTCACTGGAGAACTAGGCTCGTCAATAGTCTCTTTTAACTTCTTTGATGTGATTGGTTTTCTCAATCTTGATGGGCCACTCAACTTTCTTGTCACAAGCTCCGACGATTTCGTGAAAAAAGATGTCAAGTGAAACTACAACATCTCTCCTCTCTGGAACATAGATCCGATATCGTTCATTGCTGTCGTATCCAACCAGGTAACCAACCTCAGCTTTCCTGTCCATTTTCCGCCTCTTCTGCACAGGAACATGGACGTAGCACTTTAAGCTGAAGACTCGCAGATGTTTGATCCTCGGCTTTTGACCAAACCAGAGCTCAAAGGGTGATTTGTTAGCAACTGCTGACTTTCCCACTCGATTCAAAACTTAGCCAGCAGTGATGACAAGTTCCGCCCAGATTGCAGGAAATGTCACATTTGGATTGGCGTACTTGAAGGTCCGGGCTATTTCGACGATTGTTCTGTTCTCTCTCTCCACAGCACCATTTTGTTTGGATGTATATGGCGTTGTCAGATGTTGGTTTACACCATATTCTCTGAGAATTTGATGAACTTCAGCGTTGTCAAACTCACCTCCGTTGTCAGTTGTCACTAAGAATCTCTCTGACGTGATGACCAATTGTGCGAACTTTAACCAACACTTCACGCAATGCTTCCTTGACAGCAGTTTTTTCCCTTGGGACAAAACAGTATCAGTACCCTGAAAAGTGGTCTTTTATCAAGTATCGACGACCTCTGAAGTATGGGTCAAACAGGCCACAAACATCACCGGATAACAACTCACCTGGGGCTGAGGGGCGTTCTCGTGTTCCAATTGGTGGACGGTGTGCATTTCCGAACTAACACGGTTCGCAGATCTTGTAGTTGGCTGGCACTTTGATACCCATTTCGGATTCGAGCTTTGATCGGACGTATCGTTTATCAATGTGACCCCAGCGCGTCTTCTGCTGCATTAGCCCAAACCTCAGACAGTTGAACTGTGTGAAATGAGGCACGATACAAAGTTCCACCACAGTTTCAAGTACCTTTGAATACAGTTTGTTAGTTAATAGTGAACCAACACTCGGTATTAGTCGATTCAAACTTGCTAATTAGGATTTTGATCATTGGCTGCGAGAATGGACACCAAGTTCCGAGAAACGTCAGGAACATATCAGACATCGTTGAGTGTGAACGTTTCCAGTTTTCCATTTTCATAGTTCGCTACCTACCTTAACGACTCTACTGCCAAGAGCTATTATAACTTCCTTTCCCGCCGCCTTAACTGTTGCGTTCGAGTTTGCTGGAAAACCATCGTCAGCTTTCCATTTAGAACACTGGCAAATCCAATGACCTTTCCCCGAACAGTATTTGCACAAAGTTTCACCTTTTGGTTTCCTATTCTTCTGACCACCGCTGTTTGTGGCTCTAAGAATGTCACCAGCTTTTGACGTAGGAGCAACATTACGCTCATGAAGGATCAATGCAGATGAAACATCTACAAGTTTCTTGCTCTTTTTTGCCTTCATAAGCAAGTAGCTAGACTTAAACGATTTAAAGGGCTTCGACAAAATGTGTACACCTTTGACACAAACAGGAGCTCAAGAAAATCTTCGACTGTTTGGATGTTGTATGTTATGAGGCCAGCTGCAAATTCTCGGTTTTGATTCTTCAATCTTGAAAGCACGTTTGGGGCATCCTCGGTATCATCCCAATGCATACTGAAGAAATTCAAACACTGACGAAACAACTGATCTTCATGCCTTGTTATAGAAACTGCTCGACCAAAATGTCCCACGCTTCCTTAGCTGATAATCTTCCTGAAATCCGTTGATGTAGATCATCACTAAGGCACTGAGAAATTACTATTTTTGCCTGAGTCGTGGATTTGATGAATTTCTCAAGTTCTTCCTTTTCGGCTTTAGTCGGAGGCTCAGAGAGGGTAGGCTTTTCTCTCTTTCCCTCGACGATATCAACCGCGATCGAACAACTCTAGAATGCCCAACACCCGATCTTTCCGCATCGGCCAATCTTCTACTCCTTTCAATGGTTTTATACCTTTCACGTAGGTATTCCATTTGTAGAGCTGGACGAACTCGATCGAAAGATATTCTAAAGAAATACTCGTGAGACAGAAAATCGCGTCAGAATAAATAGTTTTTACCATGTACGTAGTAGACTAGATTTCCCAACACTGTTATGTACATAAAACGATGCTGGTGACCATAATCTCTTGAATTATTCTCCCAAGTGGAGGTGTTTAGGAAAAATCTAAGTTATAACGACGATAAAAAAACTAATTTAAACTATAAAACAAGCAAATGTATTTCTCATCAATGTTTACAAGATACATAACAAATTTGGACAACAAACAGACAGCTGATAATAAATAAACATTCATATCATCAGCTGTAGTATGACTATTACAAATAACTGCTGACAAAAAGGCAGGCATTTTCAACAATTTTAACTTAACCACCTATTCAAATTCAAATTCAAAATTCAAATTCAAATTTATTTATTTGTGATAATACAAAATCTGGCCTCGCCAAGTTTGCAAAACTTGTCGGCGAGGTCCAATTGATTCACAAAAATGTAACAAACAAAATTTACATTTTTTTTTCCTTTTTCTTTTTACAAATATAATACAAATAATTGGAGTTATAATTAAGGATTTATAATCTTAATACTTTTCTAGTTGGCTTTGAATTTTGGAAGAAATTATGTGCTGAACATGGAATTAATCCGGAAGGGATTCTTGAAGATTATACAACCGAGGGAGTGGACAGAAAAGATGTATTCTTTTACCAGGTGGGCCTTCATTAACAGGATTACTTGAAAGTCTTTTATGATTTTATGCAGGCTCGGACAAGTTTTATTCACTGTTTCCCCATATTTATTTTACTGTGCTATCTACAATTAGGCCCTATTGTTACAACTTGCAATTTTGATGATTTGTTCCCAAGAAAACTATGTTGCCGCTTAAGACTTTAAAGCTAAGTTGACATATAGGATAATAAAATCGAATACCTTATAGTACTTTTTTCCTTTTAATTCTTTTTCTTTTCTTAAGATTTAACTTAACATAGGCTACAAGTTACTTTAGAAACTTATTACTAAGTGTTGCAGGTTGGTGTTGAAATAAATCATTTCCCTCTTTCTTAAACATGTTAGGGCCAATATACATTTCAAGCTATCTTTTTGTTAGAATACAGTGCAGTAAAATTCCAAATTTCAGATGGTAACACTTGCAAGTTTTATAAATAGACTAAAGTGAACTCTATCAAAAATAAAATATTTAATTTAATTTTGCTTCTAAGTTGATTTTTTTTAAATTTAAGAAAACTCAAACATTTGTTGCTTGGTTATAATCTAAAACTGTTTATACTTTATATGTGGTACAGGCAGATGATGATCACTACATTCCTCGAGCCGTCCTTCTTGACTTGGAACCCCGAGTGATACACACGATTATGAATTCTCCATATGCAAAGGTAGTACTTCATTAGAATTATTCAAAAATAGAGACATCTAAACATGGATCAGGTATAGCCATTTTCCTAGCAGCCAAATTTAGCATGGGCTATACAGGGTGTCCCTGTAAATAGGGATAAGAATAATTAAAACATTTTCCACTAAAATACTCAGGGATTAAAATGGGGACCTTTAATACTCAGGGGCCTTTAAAATGAGGTATAACACCACCCACATTTGAAAATCTCCAAGAACCACCCCCACCCCCCGTAATCTGCCCTTTTGGGTGCTTTCTGAGTTTAAAAATAATTTTGCTGAATTCTTTGGGGTCAAAATAGGGGGTTCCAGTTGCAATCAGGTTTCTATTTGCTTTCATATTGGAGTTATAGAAGCCGGCCGGGTGGTCTGGGACACCCTATATACTGATAAACGCTAGCTCTAAGACATTTACACAACTCAGCAGTTGAGTTTGGGCGGATAGGATTACCCGCCTCAACTAAAGCAATTGTTGTGTAGGCCTATAGAAGTTACGTTCATGAATATTGAATTTGGTAAACTGTCAAATTTATACTTGATTTTACTTAGGATGATAGTTTAATCAGAAAATGAGGAACTCGGTGGATATTAGTTTGGTTAATGAAATAGGTTAATGGTTTGCTGCATCGGTCATAGTTAATACAAGGGCCTACTCATACAATCTATTTATGTTGTTACAGTTGTACAATCCAGAGAATGTGTATCTGTCAAAGCACGGGGGCGGAGCAGGTAACAACTGGGCGTCTGGTTACAGCCAGGGTGAGAGACTTCATGAAGAGATCTTTGATATCATTGACCGAGAAGCCGACGGCAGCGATAGTCTTGAGGTAACAAAAAATTGCTTGCCTATCAACAGTTTAGTATCACACAGTCCTTTTTACATAGTAAAATAATCATAGTTTAAGCAAATAATCGTTGACAAATCCGTAGTTAAACACATAGGTAGTACTTAAAAAGGATAGCAGTGCAATCAGGTATATATTATTTGTTCAAAACTTTATAATGTTTTCTTCTGGGAAGGCCCATATAACATTGTTGTACTGTATCCTCCATCAAATTAGACCCTGTGTAAAGCCACATGAGTAGTTAGCAAATTAACAATACAACTCTGTATCACCCAATTTGTTCTAACCTAATTCAATTTTAACTAAGTTACAATATTGTTCACTTTTCTAGGGATTTGTTTTATGCCATTCTATTGCTGGAGGAACAGGATCAGGAATGGGTTCGTATCTACTTGAGAGGCTCACCGACAGATATCCCAAAAAGATAATAGAAACATATAGCGTATTTCCCAACCAAGATGAAATTAGGTAAGTACCCATTGATAATTTAAATTTTTTGTTGCGGGGGGGGGGGGGGTATCCTACCCCAGGCTATTTTGACCTGTTGATATTTTGTAGCACCCCTCAGCTCACTCTGACAGACCAAGGCTTTTGGTATAGCCTCAATGTTTACTGTCTGATTTAGCCACTCTTCATGCAAGCTTTAAAAGTACTTAGCCCTCATAAGTAATGTGTTTTTAATTTTTTTTTTATTATGTAGGCCTATTAGGCTACTTTAGATTCTCACATTATTGTCATTTGACGTATACTATAATTTCACTTATTACTAGGCCTACTATTATCATTTGTGAATTTCCCTTAACATACCCAAGATGAAGTCCAAGTGTACTAGTGGTAAGCTTCATATCTCTCAGGCATTATTATCATTACATGTTAAGGTGTGTTGTTTGGGTGGGAAATAGCAGGTGGTCCAGTTTTATGGGGCCCAGGGTCCAATCCGCCAACTGATAAAGTTATAATACTGTGACCCAATGGTCAGAAGCCAATAATTGAGCAAAATGGATATATAACTTATATATCTTTTTGATAAAGGAATGACCACTTATTAAAGATGGCTTAACATGTATGATAACTATTGTTGAACTGTGTAGTGATGTGGTCGTGCAGCCATACAACTCTCTGTTGACACTAAAGAGGCTGACCAAGAGTGCGGACTGTGTGGTAGTACTGGACAACACTGCACTCAACAGAATAGCCACAGACAGACTACACATACAGAACCCTTCCTTCACTCAGATCAACTCTCTTGTGTCTACAATAATGTCTGTCAGCACTACAACTCTCAGGTAAACGCAAATTAAAAACAAACAAATTAAATACAAGCAAGCCTGGCTTGGTCTCTTGGTTCTTCATACAATGAACACAACTTTTTAAAACCAACTGACATCATTGTAAGGGTCTCCAGGTCCTTGATCAGGTCACAGAGTTTGCCGTGACCATGGTAGTTGTAAACAATTTTGCTGTGATCACAGAAGATGTCCTTGATTTCCCCGTGACCGTGGAAGACTTTCATGATTTCCCTGTAACTGTATAAGACGTTCACAATATTCAGCTAAGCATAGAAAATATTCTAGATTTTACCATGACCTTGAAGATGTCCACAATGTGACCGCAGAACATATTCATAATTTCTCCGTGACTGTAGAAGATGTTCACTATTTCACAGTGACCATGGACGATGTTCATGATTTTCTCTCGATAATCTTTTTCTCGTGATATGGAGAGATTATGTACACTATTTTGTATAAACCGATTGTAGTATGACAAATGACAATTAATATTTTTTTAAATTATTGATACTTTCAAAAGCAACCCGATTTTTGCCCAAGCCAGAGGACCTAAATTTTGACCCAAACTAAAGTAAAAATGTCTGGCCTGCACACCCCTACTTGATGGTGCATAACAGTGACACCATTGCCTTAGTTATCTCTCTACTTGCGTTACAGATACCCTTCCTATATGAACAATGATCTTATTGGATTGATTGGTCCTCTCATTCCAACTCCAAGACTTCACTTTCTGATGACAGGCTACACACCACTGGCCAACGAACACGAGGTATTGATGTTCTCAGACTCAATAGGTAGCCGTTATAGAACTTAAATTATGAAATTCCATAATTTAATTTGTACAAATTACAAATATATTATATACGGTTAACCTCCTCTTATTCAAACACCTAGCTGTTCCTAATCATTGAGCCCTAAATAAATGATCCTGGCTATGAAACAGCTGATCTTAGTCAGTGACAAAGCTGAACAGATCATCTCACTCCATTCTTAACTCATAATTGGGTTATAGCTATTTACCTTACAAGTGTAGTAAGAGCGTTTTTACTTCACGCAGGTGAATGTTGTGCAACGAGCGGAAGCGAGTTGCATAATTCACCTAAGTGATGTAAACACGCTCTTGCGTAACGTGTAACGTACAAGATTTTACCTGACCCGACAATATACATGGGTTTACGTACAAAATTTTTCATTATCCATTTCACTCATCTTCTAACAGTAACGTTCATTTACAAACAAAAGCTAGGTTAGGAAAATTCTTTAAAACATAACAATAACATTCAAGCGCACAGCTGATTTCTAGCGTTGAACGTCGTTGGCTCCATAGAGGTATGTTTTTTAAGTTAAGCACTCAATGTTATTTAAATGGGTTTCATTACCTCACCGAGTGAGTTTTTTTTAACTTTACATCACTCGAGAAGTAAAGAAGTTGTATACATCACGCTTGGGATAGAGAAGTTTAACATGGCGGGTTAGGTAAAAATCTAAATACTATACAATCCGATGTGTAACTGACTGGGGATACAAATTCTAGACCACTTCTAGATGAGCTAGAGACTTGAAATTTTCGGTGGTTGTAGGTCTAGTGCCCAAACCACCCATAAAATTCCAAAAAGTCGCATTTTCAAATTTTAACCCCCCCGAAAATTCGAATTCCCCCCCCATGTTATTCTTATGGGGAATAACATTAAAAATGGCCGACTTTCGTGTTCCCATCTGAACCACTTAGAAACGTGCTAGAGACTTCAAATTTGCGTAGTATTGTAGTAAAAGATCTTACATTACCGGTGGAATATGCAAAAGTCCCATTTTCAAATTTTAACCCACCCAAAAATCCAAAACGGCGGACCTCTGAAAACGAAAAAACACTTTTTTTTCAACCGGATGTAGCTCGAAAACGGTAAGAGCTAGAAAAGATTTGACAGTATATCCAGGAACAGGAATTAAATTTTCTACAAAACCCTCTTAGGCGTTTTCAGAAAATCGCACTCCTTAAGCTTCAAAAAAACGCCCTACTTTCAAAATTTTGTAAATTTTTCAAATTTTTTATCGGTTTTTGCTGTTTTCGTACTAAATATTATTTTTGCAATATTGAATATTATTATGTTTACTGTATACTTCACCTTTACATGTATTTACGTAACTTTACTCCTTGACCCCAAAACTTAATTTTA